GCTCCCAAATCAGTGAAAACTCAAAGTTTGAAGCATCAACACAAAGGGAAACATCACGGAACTTTCACAAGGTGAATCGCAACTCATCCAGGCTCCCAAATYAGTGAAAACTTARAGTTTGAAGCATCAACACAAAGGGAAACATCACGGAACTTTCACAAGGTGAATCGCAACTCATCCAGGCTCCCAAATCAGTGAAAATCGCAGTATTGACAAGAGGAGGAGGGGGAGAAGGGGGAGAGGGAGAAAGAAAGGAAAAGGAAGAAGAAGAGAAAGGAGAAGAAGAAGAAGAAGAAGACAGAAGAAGGAGGGAAGAAGGAGAAGAAGAAGAAGGTGAAGAAGAAGAAGAACAAGAAGAAGAAGAAGAAGAAGGAGGAGGAGGCCTCCCTCCTCTTTCACTCACCTCTCGCTGGTCTCTAGGCAGTGGTGTCCCAATGCTTGGTTCTAGCCTCCTGAGTATGGCTTTTCCACCTCCCCAAGTCCTCTCCTCGTCCTCTCACACCTCATTCTAGGTTATGGCAAGCTCCTATCTCTAAGGCTAAGGAGTCATTCCCTTTAGAAGGGCTAAGGGGACCCCTTTCAGCCTCTCCTCCTACCTCACAGCCTGAGGGCTATGGCGGCCACCTCCCTTGCCTTTCTCTAGCCTCTAGACCTCGTCCCTTAGTCTCATCACCATAGCCAAGCTCCAGGCTAGCTCCGGCTCTCACCTCCTTGCTCTATCTCACTAGCATTCACTCACGGGCTCATTTTGGCAGCATGGACTCCTCTCATGCTCAAATGAGAGTGGCGGCCTACACCTCTAGCTTATGTAGGCTGGAATAGGTGCACCGCCCAACCTCTAGGCACCTCCAAGAGCCTCTAGGTGGACCGAGGTACCCCCAAGGCCAAAATTTCGGTTTTGGCCTATCTGGAGGTACCCGGCCCCATTCCGGCCAGGTACATGCAGTTCGAGAGGCTGGTACCCTCTCATATTACTCCTTGGCCTACCCCGGCCTCTTTTCACCTCAAAAAGTGCTGCCTTTTGGGTACCACTACCCCAAAATGCAGCCTTTACAAAAATTTGAGGGCCTAGGGGCCCGTTTTCCACCTTTTTTTTTCTTCTAGGCCTCCTTTGGGTAGGCCGTTGCATTTTCCCAAGTGGCGGCACAGATCTCAGCCTTGGATTTGGCTGAGATCTATGGTTCTCATCATTCCTAGTTACTCCAAGCTCTCCCTTGCTCCAAGTTTGAGCCTTTTGCTCCAATTTTCAATTTTTTTTTATATACCTGGCCCAAACCTTGGGCCAAATTCGGAGTTTTGTCTTGTTCCTCTCTTTGTTTTCCCTCCAATTTACTGCCAACTCATTCCGGAGCTAGCCGTTTTGTGTCAGCCCACAAAAAATGGCTAGATCTCCTCCTCCGCAAGAGCAGATCTCAGATCTAAGGCCCAAAAATGAACCGGCCAACTCACATCAACATTTTTCTTTATTTTTGTTGCTTAAATTCAGATATTGCAGAGATAATGCCCCAAGGACCTTATCTCTGCAATCTGGACTGCACTCCTAGGATCTAGGAGGGATGAGGTCATCATTGGGACCTGCCCATCCCTACTGCTGCAGTCCCAACCTGGCGGCACATTTTCCTTCACTCCTTTCTCCTCCTTTGTCTCATTCTCCCCCTTTTTCTCCCATTTTCTCCCCCTTATTCTTTTATTGCTGTAGGGACAAGTGTCCAACAACTATTTCTCCTCTTTCTGGCTGTTGGACTTCACCCAAGGTCTGGTTTTGTAGCCGGCACCTGGCCGTTGCACCTCGGACTGCAGTAGCAGCATCCCCAAGGCCAAAGGGGGCTCCTTTTTGCTGTCGCCGCTTCCCGTTTGGGACCCCCTTGCTCCGATTTTCTTCGACCAGCCCTTTTTCCACGTGGAGCCCTCGGAACTTCGTTTTTCTTGGCCTGGCCGATCCGGGATACTCGGACTGCTGGCTGGCCCCCTCATTACTACTATCCCCTCCTCTTTTTCCCCTCGCCACCTCCTGTCGGCGCTTGTCGTGGCGGTACTCATCATTTTCATCCGGAACCCTGGCCCGAATGGTCTCGTCCTCCTGACGTTATGTTATTTTATTTTTATCGTTGTCGTTGCATTGGATCCAGGATCCCCCTGGGTCGCCCCAGGTGCCCTCCGTCTTTTCCGTCACATGTCCGTCGACCCCCCCCCCCATTCCATTGACAATTTATGTCAGCGCCCGACTTCTCCTCCTTTTCTTACGGCTCCTAGTCACCCCGGGTGACGACCCACTCGCACGCGTTCCTCTGTCGGGCCGGTTGCCAACTATCCTGCCGACGGCTCCGACCTCCGCCCCCCGTCCGCGACTGCCGACGCTTTATCCCATCGATACCTGCCCTACTAGTAGTTCCGCTGGCGCCGCCATCCTGTCTAGTTCCACGTGGTTCCTGGCGCTTTGGTCCGCCCGCGCTTCGTCTATCCCTTGGTCTTACACGGTTCCTGACACTTCGTCCTGCCGATATCACGCCGTCCCTTGGTCTCGCGTGGTCCCCGACGCCTAGTCCCGCCGGCACCGCACTTCTTCTTAGTTCCTTGTGGTCCCGGCACTTCATCCTGCCTGTGCCATGTCTTTCCTTGGTGCTCCTGGCGTCCTTCCGCCTTACGGTGATCTCCGCTCCCCATTCCCCCTTGCGTCCCACACGTTGTTCCCCTTCGGATGCCGGTTCCCACCTAACCTGCGATCTCCTTGGCCTCCCTGCCGCCGCGTCGCGCCGGCGCCTTGCGCCTTGTCCCTTCCTTCTTTCCTTCCTCCCTTTGTTGCGCACCCCCTGTGCTACTACCGACTTTCCGGCGGCCCTTCTCCGTCCTTGGGAAAAGATTCGCTCCTGATATTCTCTCCCAGTCCCTTGCCGCTCCCTGCTTAGACAATTTCTTTCTAGTTTGGCGGTTCTGACGATTCTGGGCAGCCTCCAGCTTCCTACTGTTTGTGTCCACGCTTCCGATCTTTTCAGCATTCCTACCTCCGGTTTTCTCTGTCGTGCACAAACTGGTCATATACAGTCTCTCGAGTGACGGGAAATCATTCGGGACTCACCACTCCCGACACCGGGGACCTCCGTACGTACGGGCTGGTAACCCTGTATATATATATATGTATAGATAGATAGATAGATAGATAGATAGATAGATAGATAGATAGATATAGGTAGATAGATAGATAGATAGATAGATATATATATATATATGCACATACCTATGTTTGGGTATTTGTTTGGCCTGAGGGGCCCAAACTTAAGGGTTTAAATGGGGTTGAGGTTGAGAAAGGAAGGGGAATTCCCTCCCTTTACTGTTTGTTTGATTTTTAGAGATTTCTTAGTCGGACGTTAGTCTTGGGCCTGGATTCGAGGTCCTTGTCCAGGACATCCCAGGTCTTAGACTCTGCATGGAAAGGATCACCCCCCTCGCAGAGCCTATTTGTCCTGCCTACCGGGACAGCCAGCCTAAAGACCGGAGGTGCCGCGGAGGCCGCACGGCTGTTCCTTCAACCGTGCAATATCGTGAAAGGGTAAGCCTTCATGATACTTCGAGCTTGACACTTGAGCGTCATAAACGGTACTCGATCTCACGAGGGACCGCTTGATTATGGGCACTACATAGTACGCCATCAGCACGACTGCTTGCATATTCATACGTTGCTAGTGGATATGGGAAGGCCTTGCGTCCGCGCGGTTTTATACTAAGTCTCACGCGTGTCGCCTATCCGATTTCCACATCGGAAAGTTATGGGATGACTACTGAAGGGACTAGGATTGCGTGCGTTGTTTTGTTTGTGTCGTTGTGTGAGTGTGTGGTTATTTTAATTTTTATATTTTTCAAGTTAGAGTGTTGTGCGCGTGGTCTGTGGGAAGCGTCCTAGTCGACCGACGACGGGTCGCGCTTAGGACCTCAGCCCCCCAAAGCGTCGGTTCGTTTGCGGGTCCGATAAAGGCGTAAAATCACGCGTACCCCCTATGCTACAGCGAATGAGAAACGCCCTCGGCTGGTTCACCTCTGCGATTCCAACTGATTAGCTTTCGCATTGTGGACTGGTAGCTCGGCGGGAATACGGCCACTGAAGGGAGGTGACAACTCTCGTAAGGTGGAGGTAGGTCGTACGTCGCATAGGCCCTATCCGATCGTAGGGGCTCGCGAGAGGTATGGCTGGCGCACTCGGTCGGAGCGGCTTGTGGAAGCTCCATCTGCATTGCGACGAGGATCAGACCAACTCCTGCGTGACGTTGTCAGGAGGGTCCCGCCCCGCTTGTGTGGTGTCGGACCGATGCGCTCGACAGGTGGCGCCGTTGCCGGGGATAACGGAAGCCTACCGTTGTCCCTGGTGGAACGACATCTGGGTATGGGATTGAGGAAAAAATAGGCATATAAGGAAAGACAGAATACGTGATGCCTTGTCTGACTATCTATGATGGATGAATGTTATTAATAAAATGAATTACCTTTGATATGATTGGCTGCCTGACTTAAAAAAACCATGAGGGGAGTTCTATAGTAGGAATAGGTCCTACTAAGGTGGGTTTAAAAATAAAGAGACTAGGATAACACCTGTTGGATCTGGACTGCGAAGTAGTCATGTAGGAGGCTGATAGGTGTCATGTTAAAGTGAGGATGCTGAATGAAAGTTTTTACCTCTTTTTAGCAGGGAAACTTGAGTAAGGAATCCGACTAAAATGCCGAGAGGCGTAGTTGATGGTGTCGGGAAGGTCCTGATAATTGATGCTTTGGTCGAGGCCCTGGACAAACGAGAGAGGTTGCAGAGCAATGTCCCCAAAGTTAACATATTTCATTTCAATGGCGAGCGAGTTTCACAATGGTTGAAACTCGTTGAGCAGGCTCTGGTGGGGCTATTAGATGCAGTGAAGTTCCAACGTATTCTGAAGTACGTACTCCATGGGTACCACCAGGAGGTAGACAAGGTGATAACAGCTAACGACAGTTGGGCGAGGTTCAAAGATGGAATGCAGAGGAAGTATAGGCTGGGTGATGGTCTATTGACCACTGTGGATTTAGAGGTCGTGAACAGGGATGACTTTACCACGGTCGGGACCTTTGTGCAGGAGTTTAAGAAAAAGGCGAGGAAGGTCCCCAGAATCTTGAAAGAAGCACAATGTGCTATGTTCCTGGGGTTGTTCACTGCTTCGGAAGCCTCAGAGTTGACAAGTCATGGAGGAGAAAGCGCACAGCTCACATGGGTCACCATCGACAAGGGGTTAGAGGAAGGGAGTTTGAACCAGGTGGAACAGTACCAAATACGCCAGCAAAGGTGGGAAAGAAAAGAGCGAAATGCGACCTCCTCAGGGACCCCGGGGATGAAAACAATCGTAACAGACGTACTCGTGGAGTTGGGTTATGGGAAAGACGCTGTGGTACAAAAGAAAGTGGTGGCTACGATCCAAGGGAAGGGGAAGGAGCCGATGGTAGAGGAGGTTGTCCAGGAGGAATGGGAAGAAGAAGAGTCGGTGCCCCAACACCTTTCAAAAGCATTGTGCAAACTGCGCAATTTAACACAGGGAGGGCAAGGCTCCGGAAAGGGACAGGCGCCCCAAGCAGTGGTAGTAGCCTCGCCAAGTATGTCGGCTCCATCAACTTGAAGTAGCGTTGGATTCTCGCAGGCGACGGTACCACCATAGCAGTGGCCATGGCCTGTGTTTAACACCTTTGTGCCATGGGGAGGTCCAACTTCATCTGGCCAGATGGTATCGTGCGCAGGGCCCCAAGCAACTATGTCGCCGCCGAGCTATCCTGTAGCGCAGGCCCAGCCCATGGCGCCGCCTCCATCGCCCGCTCCAAGCTCACAGGGTAGCGTGGCAGGGGGAGGAAATCAAGGTTAGGGCAGCCAGGGGAATGGAGGAAGGGGTGGCGGGAGAGGACGTATCAGGAATGGCGGTGGTCGGGGTGGACAATGGGACAACCAAGGGTACCAAGGCAAAGGGAGTCAAGGTAATCAAGGAGGTCAAGGATATGGAAGGCCTCGTTTTGATTGGAGAATCGCTATTTGTCCGCATTGTGACAAGCAAGGTCACACAATACGGTCCTGCAACATAAGGCAGGAGGATGAGAAGTCCAGGCTGATCTATTCTAATATGGATGGTGACATATATGATCGGTACGGGGAGTATATCAACCGAAAGGTTCCAGGCGGGGTGCCGACGGAGGCTCAGAGGAGGATAGTTGTGCGACAAGTGTCACCCGCCTCGTTCAGGTTCTGGCAGGAAAGGAATGACCTACTAATAAGGGTGGAAGAGGCGGAAGGTGATGAAGAGGTGACTCAAAGGCTACAGGCAGGAACTGTAAAGGAGGAGCCCATAATCGTTGAGTCAGACGGAGAGGGCGAATATGAGAAGGTGGAGTCAGCGACAGTCCTTCTTGGAAAGATGGAGGATTTGTGGGAGAGAATGGGAAGATATCAGCAGAAGTTGGTAGATATATGTGAAGAAGTGAGGGAATGGAGGGCCAGTATCCCCAAAGTCTTCCTCTACGAATCCGGCCCAAAGTCGGTACCAGAACGGCAAGGTTACCCTTGAGTAGCCATTGTGGGGTCAGGGCCTCGGTCTGGAATAACCTTCAGGCCCCCTACTGCGCAAGGGAGAATGACGCAAGCTGCACAAACTAGGGGTCAGAGTAAGGCAAGTGCCAGTCGAGAACCCCCTCGGAGGGAGCCAGAGCAGGAATGAAGGAAAGAGGACGTAGAGGTAGAGGAGGACGACGATGGCGAAGAGCGAGATGATAGGCTGCGCCAAGAGGAGGATCGAAGGCCGGAGCAAAGGGCCAAGAAGAGGGGAGCCGAGGAGGAAGTCGAACCAATTTTGCGCGATGCGGCGCCGAAGAAAAAGAAGTATGTGATTCGGTTAGAGGAAGGGTTTGATGTGGAGAAAGTGGTCGACAGGCTGCTTTAGGGTGATAACGACCTTGTGATCTTGAAGGAGATCCTGGCGTTTGCTCCTAAGCTCCTTAACGAGTTAAAGGGAAGGTTTTCTCGACGCTTAGTGTCGAATGTCCATCTAAGTGTAATTCTGCCAAAGGAGGCGGAATGGGCGGAAACTGGGACAATGATGGCCTGGAAGTGCGTGCTCTGTGGAATGGTGGATCTGGTGGTGAAGGGATTGAAGTGCGCAGCAATGGTGGTGGATACAGGGGCGGAGATGAATATCATCAAGGAATTTGATGCACTCAGGTTCGGGTTGGAGATGGACCGCTCGGATTGTGGCATTCTGCATGGGGCCAACTGCAAGGTTGTATTTTACGGAACGGCGTCAAACATGCTCGTTGAGATTGGGAGAGTGAAGGCCAGAGCTTGTTTCTCCGTCATGCCGGACGTGGACCATGCCATCCTCCTAGGGAGGTCGTTCCTATGCAGGACAGAAACGTTGATGTTTAACAAACATAACGAGACTCTGATCCTGATCCTGTGTGACTCGGCGTGCGGGAACAATGAAATAGTTACTTGCCAGAATACAGGCCCAAGAAGTATAAGGAACCGGCCGAACCCTGGTTCATTCACGATTGAAGAGTCCGGGGACGAGCGTCGGAGGCTCCGTGAGGAACCAGAAGAGGAGGCCCGGGAGGAGGTATTTTCCCTCGGCCTATCTGATGTGAACAAGGCCATGGATGTAGTGGCCACGCATGAGATGGCGGATCCAGACGCCATCCAGACACTAAGGGAACAAGTTTTGGAATGTCCCCAGGCTGGGGAAGTAAAGCTGGTCTATCGGCTTCCGGGCGAAAGGAGGAACCCTGCAATGATGCAGGCACAAGCGGTGAGCCGGCCTTGTCTAGGGGACGGCTCAAGCAGGGTTCCGAAAGGCAGTACAAGATGATAGATAAGAAGTACCGCCCAATTCTCATTCTCGTCACAGAAGATGAGGAGGTTTCTTACAAGCGGGGACGAGGATTGATACGGCGAATGAGGGCGCAAGCGACAGTTGGCCCGTGCCGTATCAATGAAGGGAACAAAGGGAAGTTAATAACGGGAGAGTCTGAATTCCTGCTACCCCAGGAAAAGGTACTGATGATAAAGCTAATGAAGAAGAGGCATCGCGCCTACGCTTTTGATGACGATCAGCGTGGGAGATTGGACATTGACACGACTCCTATGATCCGGATTCATATTGTGCCACATGAGCCGTGAAATTTGAGAGGGGCACGATATCCTAATCCTGACGAGGAGAAAAAGGTAGTAGATTATCTCGACGACAAGATACGCACGCATGTCGCCGAGTACTCCAGTAGGCCGTATGAGTCTCCATGGTTTTGCTTTGTCAAACTTAATCGGACGTTGTGGTGGGTGCAGGACTTGCAGCGGCTGAACGATGTGACCGTGCGAGATGCGGGGGGCTTGCCAAATATAGACGCTTGTCAGAGTCATGTGCTGGGAGGCTTATAATTTCGCTTATAGACCTTTATTCCGGATATGACCAGTTTCCGCTCTATCCGCCAGACAAACCAGTGACGGCGATGCATACGCCCCGAGGGCTGATCCATATGAATATGGCTCCACAAGGATGAACCAGTGCAGCGACGATGGCTCAACGACATATGATTCGAGCCGTGCAGACGGTCAACCCGCACATCACTCAACCATATATCGACGACTTGGTGGTAAAGGGGCCGAGAGAAAAGGAGAATGACAAAGTCTTGCCAGGCGTAAGACGCTTTATTTGGAAGCATATTCAGGATCTTGATAAATTCCTGAGTTTGTTTGAAGAACACAACCTTACGGCTAGTGGTGCCAAATCCAGATACTGTATGAGAGAGGCTACCATCTTGGGGTTCGTCTGTAGCAAGAGTGGTCGTCGGTCATATGTAAAGAAGACAAACAAAATTGTTGAATGACCAGTACCATTCCACTGAACAACAGATGTTAGAAGCTTCCTCGGCACGTGTGGCTTTTGGAGAACCTTCGTCAATAACTTTGCTGTCAAGACGGAGCACTTAAGAAAGCTGGCACGTTAGGATCAGGAATGGGTCTGAGGTGAGGAGCAAGAAAAGGTTGTAGCAGGGATGAAGGAAGAGTTTCGAGAAGGAGGGTTGGTATTGGGAGCACCGAACTATGAGGCCACAGAGGTGAGGCCATTCATCGTTGAGACGGACGCTGAACCGACTACCTTAGGGGGAGTCCTGATTCAGGCGAATGTCGAGGGGAAGGAGAGGCCGCTAAGGTTCAAGAGCCAAACTCTTTGTACAACTGAGAGAAGTTACTCTCAGTTTAAGAGAGAGACTCTCGCAGTCCTCCACCGCCTGAGGATTTCTCGAAATCATATCTTTGAACTGCCATTTCGTCAAAATGAAGATCTTTTATTTTTTGAATGAAATTGAGACCGAGTTTTTTGGTTGAAAACTCGTCAAAATTTGTTGTTCCTGAGGGTCCAGCGTTTTACAAATGCTGGACCCCCTGGCTGTACATGGAACTAGCTCGAGACTAGGTACCTCCAGGCAGTCCTTCCTGGAGGTACCTGGTCTCAAGCTAGGTCCATGTACAACCAGGGGGTCCAACATTTTTAAAACGCTGGACCCTCGGGAACAACAAATTTTGATGAGTTTTCGGCCAAAAAACTCGGTTGTCAAATTTGACGAAATGGTCGTTTTTGGCAGAAGGTTCATTTTAAGGGTAGACCCAGTTGTGCTCGCTTATTCACTAAGAAATTACGTTCCATCGGATCCAACTGCCGCCAGATAGCTAACATACATCTGGATGTTTAATTTCGAATCGGAACGGATTCCAGCGAATAAGAATAGAGCAGATGGGTTAAGTCGTATCAATTGGGATAAGCAAAAGGGAGAGGCAGTAGAGGACACGCCCCCGGTTGATGGCTTCTTGGATCAGGAGGAAGATGTCCGCCTTCACATTAACAAGTGGTCCTTGCGAGTGCCGAATTGCGTTGGCCATCCCATTTGGTTAGCGCCGAAGGGATATGAGCAAAAGGCATAGCTTGTGCTCAAGCCTTTTGAAGAAGAGGACTTATGGGGCGACAATGTCCAGTGGATGATGAAGTTGGCGCTGGCAAGCACTCATAGTCTGGTGGAGGGGATGAGGACGATAAAAGAAGGGCCTTACCAAGTGGAAAAGCACGAGGAATTGATGGGGGGAATGTACCTCCTTGTCAATACGCTTTTGCAGGGGAATTTTGATCAAGTAAGTTTGCTGAATCCGGCTGAGAATGAAGATATTGTGCCGAAAAGTCTGGATGACGAGTTTGAGCAAGGAGAGATCAAAGAGGCGTTCCGTGCAGAGGAGTATGATGGGATCTACCTGGAGTTGGGACTTTTCTTATCGTGTGAGATGCGAGATAGGGATGTTAGTGAAAGTGCTAAAAAAATGAGGCATCTCTACCTAGTGAGAGATGATCATCTCTTTGTAAAGAGGCAAGTAGAGGGCCCCAGAAGGGTTGTATGCGAGAGGAATCGTCAGATCGACGTTATAGTCGCGCTTCTGATGGCATTGCAGGAGGGCATTGGGGAGTTAGTGCCACGTATGTTAAAATAAGCGGGCTATACTATTGGGATGGGATGATGAATATGATCAGCAAGTTCTACCGTTTTTGTATACCTTGTCAAGAAAGGGCTCCTCAGACGTCAGGAGAGCCGCTTCATCCAAGGTTAGAGAGAGAAGTGGGTATCGTAGTACATCTCAACTTACTGTTTATGCCGATTGGGGATCATGACTATAATTACATCTTCGATGCGCGAGACAACCTTTCTCACTTTGTAGATGGTCGCGTCATTCGTACAAAGACCGGCTCGGTGTTGGTAAGCTGCATCAAGGAATACTACTTGTGTTATACCTTCGTCAAGGAATTCGTGATGGATAGGGGATCATAGTTTACTTCTCAGGAGGTGCAGGAGTTGTTGTCAGAGCACGGCGTGGTAGCCAATTATACCATGACGATACATCCCCAGGCAAATGCTCCTGTTGAGAGGGGGCATAGCGCCATCACGAACCTCCTGGCTAAGTGGACTGAAGGTAGGCCCAATCAGTGGCCAAGGTACCTGAGAGCGACATTTTTTGTCGAGAACATTACGGTGAAAAGGACCACTAAGTACGGGTCAACCATGATATGGTATGGAAGGCATACTACTTTCCCAATTGAGAGTTCCCTGAAAACTCGGAGACGTCAAGACTTAGAAACCAACCTGACTTCGAGGAGTTGCTCGATATTCAGGCGTGACAGGTGCGTGCGATTGAGGAGAGGATTCAGGAGGCGTCCAATCAAGTGGAGAAGAGCCGCATGGATGACAAGGCTCGTTGGGACCAGTTGGCCCGCGTACGAAAGGTACTGTTAGAGGTGGGGGATGTCGTATTGTTATATGGCTTATCCCTGGAGAAGTAGTGGTCCAGAAAGCTCGACAAAAGGTGGTTAGGGTCATATCAGGTTGTAAGATGTGGGGATTTCGGCGCCTACCAGATTGAGGAGCTGGATGAAACAGAATGGAAGGCTTGGGTATTGGGAACGAGGCTGAAGAAATTCGTGGCAAAAGAGGAGGTAAGATAGACGATCCAACTCCCTTAAGGTAGGATCCTAAGTATGTAGGAGAGGTCTATAGATAAGACGTAGGAGATAATAGGAAGGCAGAATGTATGGGCTGGATGGGTGTGCTTCGTTTGGCCGGAGCCTGTGGGGCTCCTCACAACCAACATAGAACATACCTGGGGGGGTAAGTATGTGGCGATCACTTCTCACAATCACATTGGGGCTCCTCACAACCATATGTACATGTGTGATCGCAGGCAGTCAAATCCAAGTCAAATCGAAAATCCGAACCACAGAACATGCCTGCAATCACATAAAGAATTAAACAAGGCCCACACGCTACACGGAGTCAACCTCAACCACTCTCCATACTCATACCCCTCGCTTTAGCCATGCAAGCCCCAACCTCCTGTCCAACCAACCATAATTAAATACTCAGTACCTTTGTTAAATGACCATTCAATAAAAGTCCGGGTGAAACCATAACAAAATAATAAAATCACCAGGACCAAAACCTTTTTAGGTTGAGTATTGAGGGTGAGTTGAAATTGAGTCGTAGACCGACGAATCGGCAACCGACCTGTTATCAGTGATAACAGAAGGTGATCCTCGTAAGATCAAAGCTGAATCTAGTCCACAATCCTGAATCGACTCGTTCAAGAAGACCTGTAACACAAGACGGGCCAATCCCCAAGCTGAGTCTATAAGTTCAGGGAGGATAATCTCCATATCATGACCTCACCCAACTCATCCTGATTAACTAGGCTTAAACCTACCTCTAAGCAGGTGTCAAAGCAAAGGTAGATCCTAGCATAATCCCTCCTACACGGACTGGATCTCCCAGAATTGTCACCTGTCAAATATAATCTAACTCCTCTAAACCCGAAAAATTTCGGCAACGCTTCCCGTAGGAGAAGTGCCTTCGCAGAGTTCGTACTAGTCCAAAAATCAGACTTTTGGATTCTAGAAAGTCAAAATTTGTCTAACTCCCTGATTTAGTAACAATTTGGGCAGCACTTCCAATAGAAGGGAGGACTGTCCACATTTATACAAAGTTAGATATGAACTCAAATATAAAGTCTGAGTTCTGTCAAGACAAAATTCTAACCTACTCCTTTGATTTGTAGAAATTTCAGCAGCGCTTCCCGTAGAGAAAGTGTTCTTCTAAGATTTATACAATGCTAAGTTCAGAATCTAAAATCATTTTGACCCTTCAAGGCTCAATTTTGTCTAACTCCCTGAATTAGTAAAAATTTGGGTAGCACTTCCTTCAAAAAAGGAGGCTTCCCAGATTCTTACGAAGTCAAAAAGCCAACAAGACCGGATCCTCAAGAAGACAAAGTTTTGAGTAACTCCTTGGTTTTGTAGAAATTTCGGCAGCGCTTCCCGTAGGAACAGTGGCTAACCAAGATTTATACAAGATCAAAGTATAACAAAAGATCCCAGAAAATGCAGAAATCGATCTAAGTAAAATAAACTTAACTCAGAAAGTGTCGAAATTGAAACTAACTCCTATGGCTCTAGCACGTGACAAGCAACTAAAGCAACTACCTATCAACCTGAAGCTTAGATCAGATAGTCATCCCACTCAGCCAAATGCAAGCAAAACTACGAGGGTAAGCACTCTCACAATTCCAAGTTATTTCTCATAAGATAGTTCATGAGTCTTCAGATCATTTAACCCTTATACCCAACTTACATATGGCACTAATGTTGGACCATTCGACTTGAAAACAATGCCCCGTGTGCCTTTAGGATATACACGAACAGGTTGCACTACTACTTTTCTCTTCTTTGGGCATTTGGTTAAACCATTCGGCTTGGAAACAATGTCTGACCGCCCTGAACTGTTTAACATCCAAAATTTAGTAATTCTCTGACTTAGTTCTCAAAAGAAGGTGCAAATATGGGCAGGGGACTGAACCATTCGGCTTGGAAACAATGATCAGCTTGCCCAGTCTATTTCCAATTATA